CAGGGCACCGAACTAGCCGCTCTGGGCACACCAGAGATCAGTCTCGTGAGACTGATTCCCTTAGTAGATTATTTAGCAGTGTGGAAGCTACTGCCAAATGTGTCTCAATGGGTCCTGCATACTGTAGAAAGAGGCTACAGAATCCAGTTCAGTTCTCCTCCGCCTCAATTCAACGGGGTCACCCCCACTCTGGTGGGTCCCGAGCAGGCTCTGGTATTAGAACAAGAAGTAGTTACTCTCTTAAAGAAGGAGGCCATCGAGGTGGTCCCTCTGCACGAGACAGACTCCGGGTTCTACAGCCGGTACTTCATTGTTCCGAAGAAGGATGGGGGGTTGCGTCTTATTTTATGTCATGATCGATCTAAAAGACGCATACTTCCATCATGTCTCCATCCTTCCTCATCACAGGAAGTTCCTGAGATTCGCTTTGGGGGGCAAAGCTTACCAATATCGTGTTCTTCCTTTCGGCCTTGCACTCTCACCCCGCACTTTCACGAAGTGTGTGATGTGGAGGAAACCTTGGTTCTTGTCTCAGGGCCCAGTGCTGGAGCTCCTTGTCGCTGCGTGACGCTAGCGACGGACGCGTCCCTCACCGGTTGGGGTGCGGTCATGAGTGGCCACCCTGCCCGCGGTCTGTGGAGTGGTCGCCATCTGACGTGGCATATCAATTGTCTAGAGATGCTGGTCGTGTTTCGAGCACTGAAACACTTTCTCCCAGACCTAAGAGGTCACCATGTGTTGGTGCGCACCGACAACACAGCGGTGGTCTCTTACATCAACCACCAGGGAGGTCTGCGTTCGCGCCCCTTGTACAAGCTGGCGCACCAGATCCTTGTGTGGTCCCAGGGGAAACTCCTCTCGCTGAGACCAGTTCACATTCCTGGGCATCTCAATATGGGAGCAGACATCCTGTCGAGGCAGGGGCTGAGGCCCGGGGAATGGAGGCTTCACCCCGAGGGGGTGAAGCAGATATGAAGAGTTTTTGGCCAGGCTCAGGTGGACCTGTTTGCGACTCAGATGACATTGCACTGTCCCCTCTGGTTCTCTCTGACTCATCCAGCTCCACTGGGGCTGGATGCCATGGTACAGACGTGGCCGAGGCTTCGTCTGTACGCCTTTCCCCCGATTGCTCTGCTCCCAGGAGTTCTGGAGAGAGTGCGCCAGGACGGAGTCCGTCTACTGTTAGTAACCCCGTTCTGACCGGGCAGAGTATGGTTCTCGGACCTGATTTCCCTTCTCGACGGCTCTCCATGGGAGATTCCCATCAGGAGGGACCTCCTCTCACAGGCGGAGGGCACGATATTTCACCCCCTCCTGGAGCTGTGGAAGTTATGGGTGTGGCCCCTGAGGGGCACAACTAGTAGCTTCTGGTCTCTCAACTGAGGTTGTTGAGACCATCCTCCAATCCAGAGCTCCCTGAACGAGGAAACTGTACGCCTTGAAGTGGAAGCTTTTCACTTCCTGGTGTAGAGACCGCCAGCTCGACCCAGCTAACTGCCCAGTTGGTACAGTACAGGAGTTCCTGCAGGCCCGTTTCTCTACAGGGCTGACCCACTCCACCCTGAAGTTCTACGTGGCGGCCATTGCGGCCTACCACGCCCCTCTCGGTGGCCAGTCAGTGGGGAGACACCCCCTGGTTACACGTTTCCTCCGCGGTGCTCTGAGGCTGAGGCCTCTCGTACGATCTCGTGTCTCCACGTGGGACCTGGTCGTGGTGCTAGAAGCTCTCTGTAAGCCTCCGTTCGAGCCAATTGAGGAGATCTCTGATCGCCACCTTACTATAAAGACTACCTTTCTTCTGGCGATATCTTCTCTTAAGAGAGTTGGGGATTTGCAGGCCCTATCAGTGGCCCCTTCCTATCTTGACTTTGCGCCCGGTCTGGCCAAAGCGTTTCTGTACCCTCGAGTGGGGTATGTCTCTAAAGTCCCCTCATCTGCACCACAGCCTCTCGTACTCCAGGCCTTCAGTCCTCCTCCTTTTAGAGAGCCAGACCAGCAGAAGCTTAATTGTATGTGTCCAGTGCGAGCACTGGATGCATACGTCCACAGAGCTGCCCTGTGTAGGAGGGTGGACCAACTGCTTGTTTGCTACGGTCCCCCTAAGAGAGGTCTTCCAGCTACGAAACAGACCCTCAGCCGGTGGATAGTGGATGCCATCTCTATCTCTTATGAGTCCTCTGATCTCCCCTCGACGCTAGGGGTCAAGGCTCACTCCACTCAAAGTGTGGCGGCCTCCAAGACCTTTTTAGCAGGTGTGTCTATGCAGGACATCTGCAATGCTGCGGGTTGGTCCACACCCATTACCTTCGTCAGATTCTATGACCTAG